TTCAGACGAATATTCAGCGAAACGATTTGAATAAATATTGTATTGGTATTCAGTATTACAGCTGTACTGATAGACTGTGTATAAGTTTTTGGTACAAAGTATTGTATACATAAATATTCCTCTTTTTTGACCTCTTTTTCGGTGATATCTCTAAAGAATTTCGATGTTTTCCTTTAGATATGATTTATGACGTCTAGAAATAGATTAATAAATAAATTTAATTGAATTTTAAAGTATAAATAGAAAGCATTTTGTGTGTTTGAATCGAAAATATTTTTATTGATAGCGAATATATTCTACACGAAAAAATAAAACTTATAAATATATAAGAATTGATAATAAATACATAGTAGTGTACTAATATTTTCTGTTTAGTTAGACAGTATATTTTATATGTCTATAACTATAACATAGTTTATAAATGACATGACTGTAGGCACAAAAATATAACTCATTCGCCTTATTGTTCATTTAAATCAAATCTAATATTTGTCTTTCGGCACAAATATATATATTTCTCGCATTCATTGAGTCTTTATATACGAATTGAATATCAAATGCTATGCTATTTGTATGAGTAGTCCGGCAGTAAAGAGGGCTCACATTAGAGACGATTTCTTATGATTTCGTTGATTCGATGCGAATGAACACAAGAAAGCACACAATTTGTGTCTTCATTTCTTTCTCTCTATCATACTTTCCCTGCCTTTCAGTCTTAGAGTTCGGTCTCTAAGCCATCCATTCATCAGCGTATATATGATGTGAATATAGTCTCCAAAAACTGAAAGTTGTGCTAAATTTAGCCAAACATCCAAATAGTTTTTTGCTCGCAAATACTTTGGATTTAATATAAAAAGTATAATTAAAACTAACACAACAGTATTATCTAATGTCTAAAAAATTATTTTTACGGTAATACATTTATATAAATTAAATAATTTTTTGTTTAAACAAAGTTGACATCAAATGACATTTTGTTTGACATTAAGTCAATTGTTTATTAAAAACTTCTCAAATAAATTGAATAATTTCCTGATTTATTGTTTTTGTGTATAATATTACTGATGAATAAATACAACAAAAAATAATATATCGATATTTCATCGAAAAGCCACGTCTGAAGAGAGGGAAGGGATCATCGGATCCACGCAAAGGAAAAGGGAAGTCAGTGTATATCTCACTATACATTCAATACTAGAAAACAAAAAGTTTCTTTGAAAATCACATTTCATTAACTCATGTAAAGATCGAAATGAATTCATTTTTACAAAAATAAATATCAGAAACTATTCGCTGGAAAAAATGCCGACAAAAAATGATATCCTTATCTTTTAAGATACACTTTGAAACAAGTGATTATGAAAATCAATTTTAATACATGTTTTCAATTAATTGATAGCAAGTTATAAACAGAACTAAAAATATTGAATTTTTCCAATCGTCTCAGAAAATTAAAAATAAAAATCTCAACATAAATAAGATATAAATAATTATAGAGTTCAGTGATTATTGTAATGATTACATAATGAGAGTATAATTTTGTAATTAAGTGGTTAGGGATGGATAGGGAAGACATGCGAGACATTACTTCCATAATAACAGCTATGATACAAGAATTTATAAAATTAATTAATAAAACTAATTTCATAAATCCATTAAACTATTAAATACTCATATATTCATTTCATAATACTTATAAAGATAAGTCTCAAAACAATTCCACAAAACAAAGTGCAGCAAAAAAGCAATTATTTCCTCGTTTCAAATCACAAACTATTCATTTGTATGAATAATAAATACTTTGCACAAAAAAGTTTCGTATCTTTGATTCAAAAACAAATGAGTGTTGACTTGAGTTAAACCAAAAGATTGTCTAACATATCGACGTAGAAGTGAATGGTTTGTAAGTTTATTGACTCACTTGATATAATAGGCCTTCCCGTCCTTATCCACCGCCGACTCCCAGCCGTAGGGAAAGTACTGATCGTCGGATCCTTTCCACGACTCGATGGGCGGAAGCCATGAAGTCGTCTTCGTTTCATGACTTTATAGCAGAGAATAGAGAAAAATATAAGAATTATATTATCAGATATTACGAGATATATGGCGTAAGAAAAGGCATTTTTGAACAAAACTTTCAGACATAATAAACTATTCAATAGTGAAATATTGTTTTATAAGAATAATGTCTACAAAAGTGGGATAAAAGCAGGTATTAGTGGTAAAGGAGAATATAAAAAGCTTTTCCATATATTTCTTGTATTACTAATACTATTATGTTTTCAGTCAACCGTTTTCTCTCAAAATTCACTGAATATATCGTATATTATTCAATATAATCCTATTTATTATAAATTACAAAACAAACTTATTTATAAAAGTCTTAATACTGTACTGTATAACAAATATGCTCATATATTACCCCTCGAAAAAAGTTTGTAGTTTAGACCTCAATAATGACAGCAATCAATATTATACATTAAAAATACATTTTTGATATAATGTACGCAAATGTATTATCAAGAAATGCAACATAAAAATCCTAAACAAAAAAATCTGCGCCTAAAAATGATGGTCTGAGCTCCAGTTCCCCTTCAGTGACTCTCAACCGTCTCATTGACTGACATTAAACGATGCAATTGTGCCGTTAGTTTGATTCAAACATTTGCAACAAATATACACACAATTCGTCATTAAATTGGTGTTTAAGAGTTTGTCAACTATAGCAGTGGCACAGTTGACATACAAGTGCTCACACCCTGTCTATTGCTATCTCTGCCGACTCACTGATCATTACCCCGGGAATGGGTGGAACTGATGGCATACAAACTGCTCGTAAACTAAGGCATTATAACACATCGATCACTGGACCCACACGACTGCAAATCGCATCACTGGTCAAGACTTGAGGACAATATATATATTAGTGTTTATATATAGAGAGAAATACTGTACAGAATAATCACAAGTAATGACACAAATACTCTCTGCTTGACATCAAAACTTAACTACAAATACAACTGAGAATAGGGTTTGGAGTTAAGTATTGAACAAACAGTTTTCGACTCAACAAGAGAACCAATATTTGGTATCAAACACCCAACCCTCTCGTCTAATAATAGCTTCAATGTAATAATTGTCAGAAAACTTGTCATACAATTGCCATTCATTTATACAAAAAATACCATTTATGGCATTTCAATGAATTGTTGATTCAATTGTTAATAAAATAAATTTTTATATTATTCTTATTTATCTCAAGACTTCAATAAAATATTTGAACGCTAACCGAGAAATGAAAATTCAATTTTCATATTTTAAAATTCAATTTCCTATAATACAACATAAATATAAACAAAATCGAGTTTAAACCACAAATATATAGTTTAAATAACTTTTCGCCTAAACTGCGAAAAATCTTGAGCCGAGGGTTTGACGCAATGATAATGACCTGAAGGCAAAGGTTTTCACCATTTTTTTCCGTTGAACCCGTTTTTGGCATTCGTTTCCAAATTCTAATATAAAGTTATTTATCGATCGATACGATCGGCTCAACGAAAACATTACCAGAAGTGAAGAAAAATAAATATAAAAATTTTAAGTGATGTGCGGATCAGTGGAAAAAGTGGGCAAAAATTGAGTGAAAGAAAATAAAAATGAACTCAAAGAATGTCATCGACAGTGGAGTTAATGTTTACATCAAACAAGAAAACTTTTAAATCAGTTTTCTATAGACATTATGAGTGAATAATTCTCTAATGAAAGCGTATTTCGGAGTCAAATAGAGAAGTCGAGAGAAACATAAGACTATAATATTTATTGCACTCAAAAGCTATGATTCTTTAGAAGCGATTCTCATTGAATTGAAAGGAAATGCAATTTAGTTTCAGTCATCAAATCTGAACGCATATAAAATTGTAAATATAATCGATTGTCAGATAGAAAGCGATAGAAAGACTATAGACTCGTATGACTATAGGCATGTGGAAAACGAGCCTCACTTTCGTATATAAAAAGCTTATTTTGATTCCTAAATAGATTTAGTGTTTTTTATAGACACTAATCGATTGTTGAGAAAATTCAACTCAAAATATACTGAAACATAAAACTCGCGAACAAAAAAAACTTCTCTATACTATAAATTTAAAGCAATATTTCAGAAAAGGCTATCATAAAAGTATATATAAATTTATATTCACTTTAAGTAAATGTTATGTAAAGTGTTGTCTCAAACAGATATAACAGGGAAGCGAAATAAATTGGTTGCAGAATATATGTAAAGGTTTACTCGCATTCAGTGATAATTGAAAAAAGTAGGACCACTTCTGCTGCTGAAAAAACAGCACTCAAAGAGACAGACAATTGATGGCAATAATCATTGCGATGACAACAAATTGAAGACATTGTCTGTGAAAGAGAGCCATCGGTGCCGGAGACCCATTCACAGCCCTCACAAACATATTTATATTATTTAAGACGTGAAAAAAGCAATAAAATAGTGAACAGTAAATGGATAACTGAATTGAAAACTAAAGAATATGTGACAAAGAATGCATTCATTGGCGTTCGGGTCATAGGATTAGGTGCTCTCAAAAGTCTACTTAAACATAACTTTCAGCGTTAAAGTCGTTGAAACAAATAAATTGTTTTTTGCATAAAAATAGTAAAAATATTAGACTCAGCGAATGGGTACTACGAGACTAATATAACACTGAAACACAGTATAAAATTAACAAACAAAAACAAAACTCTTATATAATACTCACTTTGGATTAAATTTCGATCTCATAATATATTTTAATGAACTCATTGTAAACACACGGCGAGAGAGAAGTGTATGAACTTTAACACAAGAATTGGAGTTCAAAACTAAAAATATAATATAATTATAACTTTTTGTCACTAAAAATACTTCATTTTTGAAGATTTCTTCAAAAGCTACACAACTTGTAATAAAGAGCGCAACAAATATAACATAAAAACTCTTTTTGTCGACAGATTAGAGCCAAAAGTCGATAACTAATTGAGAGGAAGACTACAAAATTATAGCAAAAAAAAGTTTTTTTTCATTGCAATCAGGTTTACTGAAGTTTCGTATCATTTATATAACACAAGATATCGTACGATATTAGACAGCAATACAGTGTATGTAATAATAAAGAGTATATTATATGGTGTTAATAGTCGTGGAGAACATCAACACATTTAGCAAACATCTGAGTGTTAAGACAAATGATCAGACAATTGAAGTCTGGGCTCAACTCAATGGCAAATATGGTTGGAGTGCAAGAGTGGCACCAGAAGAGACACACAACAGATACACAGAAACTTCATATACTGTACACCACTTTACTGTTATAATAAACTCTTAACCAGAAATCATTAACAAAAACGATGTGAGAGTTTATATGTGTGTACATAAAATCTGCGGCCATAGGATCCACAGATCCTATGGTTGGATGGAGATGAGGGGTATGTTGTGTAGACTCCGAGAGACTGGGATTACTATGTGATGCGAGGCTGGGATGGGAGAGAGCGAGGCGACTTTACCCCTAAACTGAGTGCTACCGCCAAACGCATAGCTCACAAAATAAACTCAACTCAAACTTTCTTATATGTAGTGACAAGGAGTTGCACACAATCTCGCAGCTCATCCCAAAGTATTTGCGAGCAAAAAACTATTTGGATGTTTGGCTAAATTTAGCACAACTTTCAGTTTTTGGAGACTATATTCACATCATATATACGCTGATGAATGGATGGCTTAGAGACCGAACTCTAAAACTGAAAGGCAGGGAAAGTATGGGAGAGAGAGAAAGAAATGAAGACACAAATTGTGTGCTTTCTTGTGTTCATTCGCATCGAATCAACGAAATCATAAGAAATCGTCTCTAATGTGAGCCCTCTTTACTGCCGGACTACTCATACAAATAACATAGCATTTGATATTCAATTCGTATATAAAGACTCAATGAATGCGAGAAATATATATATATTTGTGCCGAAAGACAAATATCAGATTTGATTTAAATGAACAATAAGGCGAATGAGTTATATTTTTGTGCCTACAGTCATGTCATTTATAAACTATGTTATAGTTATAGACATATAAAATATACTGTCTAACTAAACAGCAAATATTAGTACACTACTATGTATTTATTATCAATTCTTATATATTTATAAGTTTTATTTTTCCGTGTAGAATATATTCGCTATCAATAAAAATATTTTCGATTCAAACCCACAAAATGCTTTCTATTTATACTTAAAAATTCAATTAAATTTATTTATTAATCTATTTCTAGACGTCATAAATCATATCTAAAGGAAAACATCGAAATTCTTTAAAGATATCACCGAAAAAGAGGTCAAAAAGAGGAATATTTATGTATACAATACTTTGTACCAAAAACTTATACACAGTCTATCAGTACAGCTGTAATACTGAATACCAATACAATATTTATTCAAATCGTTTCGCTGAATATTCGTCTGAAAGACTTCATTTGACTTTCAATACTCGGAAACAGAAACTAATCATTTAATCGTTTAATACATTATTCAATGATTTATAAAACAGAAACTCTTCCCAGAATTAGTTGATTGCAAACATATCTCTCAAATATCTTAAGCCCCCTATTATAGTGCCGTATAATATATTGTACACATAAGTCTTAATTTGACATATTTTTGCATAGGATTCAAACACAGAGTTCAGACAAATTAGCGCTGATTAGCAGCTACTCAACGAAAAAACAATAAACAGTTTTGTTGATTGCGATTAATTGTGTTTATACTGTAAGCGCTTATTTCGGTTAAAACAATATTTGAATAAATCAATACAATTATAATAAATTACTCAATTGTCTAATGATTTCTTAAGCGTTTCGCAAATGATTTAATTGTTTGCCAAATGATATTTAGCACACATTTGGGTTAAGAATATTCTGTGCAAATACCTAATAGCAAACAAAATAACAAGACAAATTGCTTGGAAAAAGCAAATGTGTTTGTAATACACAACTAAAACTGCGGTCATTAATAGACTGCCAGAAGTAATGTCACAGAAAAAA